ATTCGGTCTCATACATACGACACCAATGTCGCGAAGCTGAGTTTAAAAATAAAAAAGAAATCTTCACTTATCCTTATGAATATCGATGCGCTATACTTTCATAGTCCTACTCGATACCTCGAAATATTTCGGCAGATACTGGTCAGAGCATTATTGAGTACACCTGTAGATTCAATTTATGCAATGTTATATGAAACGGAAGCAGCAATATTTCGAAGTTTACTTCTGTTATAAGGTAGGTTCATAAAGTGGCTCGTCTGATGGAATACCTAACGGCGATACCAGACGTAAAACTCGAAACGCAAAAGCTTATATTAATCCACGCCTCTGTGCAATGTGTCGACGAGGGTGCATTTTACCTGAGCTTTATTCTTCAGTGTTATGCAAAATTGGGGCCTATTCCATGTGCTTACAGCCTATCCTAAGCGTTTTGCGCTGAACTGAACAGTTCATATAACTATTAGGATTATCGTTTTTCCAAATCGCTCGTCTTGACGGAGGGCCTTAGATAGGAATAAGGCAAGATGATATTAATTGCAGAAATGCTTTACGCTGCGTGCTGAGGTCGGCATAATTAAATCGATGTTTCAAGAGGAACACTTTATTTAGTTTTTACTATGAATTTTTTGGCAGGAGGCCGAGTTGTAGAGGGATTCGTAGCAGACCAGCCGGACACATATCCATGTGTAGTTTAACCTGCTTAACTAATAAAGTCCATACAACCGCGCAAAACAGCGGTATCGTTATGAGACAACTTCAACGACTAGAGACCGCCCGAACGGCAACCCGATTGACATTACTTTCAGGGGCCGACCGTACTGGTTTCCATCAACACATTTTGGTATGTATATGTAATAAAAACGCAGAAAAAATCATTTGCGAATCCTGGCCATTCACAAACTCTAGAAAGTTTACTTAGCGGTTGCGTGAATGAAGAATAACTACATCTACTGGTCAGGCACTACGTAGCGAGTACGCCTACTTCTTCGAACAATTGTGCATTAATCATTCAACTTACGTCACGACATATGCTTGCTCTAGCGTTCGTTTTCAAGGAGGCCAGTGATCCCTCAGATAGCCTCATGTGACTTCGATGAGCAGCAAACTTGTTAGGGCGCGGTAGCTATTTGAATAATGTAACAAGCGGAATGGTATTGATAAAAAAGAAACGATTTTTTCTTAGTTACCATAGCAAACGAATGAAAATATATTTGTAGCGGCAAAAAAAACAACAATGCTAAATATGATTAGTGATTCGTCAGTTGCTACAGCAGGCCATTTGCTGCGAAGTCATATCAGTAGGACAACTCGGTGAAAACCCATAAAAGCTAAGGCTATAAAATCTAATAGGTTTTTTTTGTAGTTTAAAGTGCATCATCAGCGACCCGATCTGTTCACGATGAGATCGGGGTCGCAAACTGGGTCAGCGGCCTACCTGTCGACTATGTGAAATATGTACATAAACTTGAAAGTTGACGATGCAACGAAATTGTATTTGTCAAATATATATCATGCACAGAAAAGGAAAAAGCTAAAGTGAATCAAGCATTTATTAAGTTTGAGGTAAATTGATGATTAAACTATAATGTTTCCTCTGAGTTGCCCTTCGCTTCGCACATAGTATATCGGAAGACGTCTTTAGCTTGATCAAACTTAACTGAACAACAACTGTTAGATTTTGTCTTTCTGGTGAGCATGACTCTATTTTTGAGTTTTCAGTTTAAGTTAATCGGTAACCATAGCTCAACGTTGGATTATACATCCATATATACTATATTTGCTTAGAACAATTCCTATTCATGTAGATTCTCAAAGCATTGTAAACTCAAGTTACGATTCACTAGTTTACATAAAATAGAGTACAAGAGCAGGATTACTGTGCATCCTATATAGACTGCAAGCGAAACCGTGCAGCAGCTCAATATTGGCGCGAAGTACGAAGATCTCCGCAAATGACTGGGAACGCAACGTATCGTCTTTATAGTTCATGAGGCGTATAGGTTCCGCCGAGCTATTCCATGTTGTTCTTTAAAGAATCCTGCGCCTGTGTGGAACAGTGTCTATAACGCCTAGGCAGTTTCCTTTCTACATTAGCCATGATGACATCGAGAGACGGGGCCACCAACGTGGTGAGGAACCTAGATTATGAAGAAGTCGTAGCAACTAGAAGGGCAACATCATAAGTTGTTCCGTTTACTTTTTCAGAATTACTCAAACGTTACACACGTTGAAGGCATAGCCCACGACATAGTGAGGGCAATTGGAATAGGAGGTCAACGATTTATACCCTGACCAAACACACTACGCAGTGGGTTGATATTAAAAACTCAAGTAATTTTCAAGCTTCAGAGATTGACCTATTTTTTTTTTTGATTGAGCTATTTTTTTTTACCTAAGTACGTATTACCTGTGCGTGTTACCCTTGGGAGTGCACAGCGGAATCTGATTTTTTTTTTCAAGACTAATGTACTTCGACCGACACCAATTTACTGTTTGATTTCCAGCTACACTGCGCGTCAAATTCGCACTTTCCCTTAAGCGTAATCCTCTGCTATCATTTACCTTAATATAACTCTTACTATTAAAAAAAAACCAATTCGAAGACACATTATAAACATATACTTGTTATGCAGCCATAGCTTGCTGTTTATCCGGTCGAACATTAATCATCTCTGTCAACATCCGACTGTGTAGTGTTCTATACAATGTTGATAAATTACAATAGACGATTCCAAAACATTGTTTTGAAGAACGATTTTGGACTCATGGAATAACATTGGGAAGTCTGTCAGGGCATATGGTCCAGAGGAAGTACTAATTTGAAGTGTATAGCCCGAACACAGATTTTACTAACTGACATAGGGGTGACTATTGAACTTTAAGACACCAAGTGATTGAGGTTCGAAGTCGAGCGAAAGCTGGATCGACGTAAAGCTTAACGGCAGTCCTGGATGCCAAATTCGACAAATTTTACCCTTGACGAAACATGAGTTATAAGCGAATTAAAATTTGAGTTCGGCAATATCTATAGGACCAAGAAGGAGCAGGATGCACTTGCTATGGAACCCATGCATAATGGGGGATGAATTCGGAACGTGTATTGATGGTCTATGTCAATGGAAGTGATGAATCACCACCACTTTCCCACTTTGCTCGATCTGCTGTGTTTCGTCTGCTTAGAGAATTACACAACAAGATTTAACTTGAATTTTTATTATAGTACTTATTAGCACGAGTGCACTATACCGTTGGGCCATAATAGTTCTGTTGTTTCTGTTGAAGAGGTTACTTGCAACCGTTAACATATTTGTAGAGTTAAGCCTACTATATTTTAATGGAGTGCTAATATTAATATCGAGACCTGAACCTGATGATTTAAATGGTTCCGCACATTTTTAGTTAGTGGCATCGTTAAGTAAAGAGGCCTCATTCATTGCCGTAAAAATAAAGTAATGCATACATAATTTATTGATTAGGATCCAAGTTGCTGAATAAATATATAAACGTCTTTTTATACAACGTTCGAATATAAATAGATACGATAAATTATTGCAATTTAGCTAACATGATAATAATAGCCGATACAAGTAGTACATGAAGCGAAACCCCTTTTTGTCAGACTTAGCAATGAACAAGACACATTTAGAAATTTTCGATACGGAGTAATGCTTTGGCCGATATGTGTGTTAACGCTAGAAACACAAACAAATCTGTGTTTTCGATCGCATCGGCGTGCGAACACATGCGGATCCTTAAGCTGCAAAAGGCTGCGGGTCGCCTACCAAGGCGTATCAAGATCAAACTTGAAAATACTGCGTATGCAGCCTTTAGTAAAATTTGTAATCTATGTTTTTTTAACACGGCACTCGAAATATTGGCTTTATCTACCGCTGTCACGCCTTTAGTCTAATGTATTGCCGAGGAAAATCAGGTAGTATATGTAGGAATATGTGGCCCAGCCTTCCTTGCTGCTTTTACAAAATTTGGCCATATGGCCTCTATTTGGGGGTATTCACATTGTGTAAACTCATTCTCTATTTAGTAGATGGTTTATTTCTTCTGGAGTTCTTATTTCCGTTTTTTCTAGCTTATATTGCCCACCGCGTTCTTTTCAAAGTCACGCTGTAAAGCTCAGACTAGTTAAAGCTCCCATAATGCTTTAACCATATTAAGTAAGTTGATTGAGAACATTTATGCAGGCATAGGCAATACAATTATATAATCCATTTCCAAGCACTATAGGCAGGGTGGATAGGTGTTTATACGACAATCATAACGTATCGATTGTTGACATCTACCGAGTTTTTAACTAGTAATACTTGACTGAGTTTTTCATCTGAACTGAATTTTGGTGGGCATGACTATTATAACACGTCCTATAACTCGTATATACGAAATTTCATTCAAAAGGCGTGATTTTCCGTTGCGGGAGGCATGTCGCTCACCGTGCCAGATACATTACTGTCGTAGTACCAGCGCTGAGAGACTCACAACTAAAAAAAAAAAACATCATTACATAGAAATATGTGTGTCGATTTTTTCAATCCCATTTACAGAAAATGCTGATTTTAATGCATGTGACCACTGAGTTAGCACACTTTCACCACATTACTCGATTAGCACAGTCCAGGCATCCTTCCTTATGCATGTAGGGTCTTGTAGGTGAAGTCAATCCAGCCGTGAATATTCTATTGTGCCAACGACTGTTACGAAGGTAAGATGATAAAATAAAACAGGGTAAATTGCGCTTTTTTTACCATATCACTGGATGGCTCACACTGACAGATTAAGCGAAGTCATTGCTCGACAATGCCAAAACGTTAGCCAGATTTCAGATGTCCTCCCTTAAATGCTTTCTATAAAATTAACGCGCTAACGAACATTACGCTTACTAACAATAAAGATAACACTAAAGAGTATTATCATCGGGTCGTTGGTACAGATGGGTCATGTTTACTCTAATCGGTACATAAGTTCTCAATAGGCAAGAGGCTCAAGTATACTGGACAAAAAAAAACGATTTTTCTTTTATTTAACATTTACTCATTTTTGTCGACTTCGGCTGTCTTTCGCCTTGCCACTGACCTTAAAACACAGTGCCAAATGTATCATAAACATCTTTAAAATTTAAAAAAAAAAAACATTAACAAATGGCGCTCTAAGTAGCCCGCCTTTTAATCTGGCCCAAATGCTAATTCAGACTGGCAGCTACCCTATTTCGTGGGATGCACCGAAAACAACTAGGCTATAACAAGCAGAAGTGCTAACGTGCTGAATGAAAACATATTTGTCTCTAAGAAAATCAAATTTTGTTTAATAATATTTATTTGACAGATCATTCAGATATTTAGATGAATCATCGTTATAGCGACCTTTATTTGTTCTCGTTTTGATATATTACCGCTACGATGTGTTTAACTGAAATACCTTTTTTGCGTCAGCAGTAGCCCTAAAATGTTTGCGGCCATGGTGATAGTAAGACAGTAGGTATTATTCTTGTTCGATTGGGTTGGTTTATCTGATTTTTTCCCATGTAATTTAGACAACAAGAATAATGATCACAATTATAGCAGCAATTGATGATAAGACGATGTTGGCTATGATTCATATACAGTATCTTCCGTATATTGTCAGCCATTTTCTAGGTGAGATTAAAGGATGACCATCTGTCAATATGCTGGGTTTCTAGCTATGCTCCGTACTTCGCTATGCATAACGTGCATAGCCATAGGAACATCACAAACGACCCAATTTTTTTGTGTTTAGGAAGTACCACGTGCCATTAGAGTACAATTACCGTGACAAAAAAATCAGGACGCGAAATGTAATGGATGGTCGTACTAAGGGCGCTGACTAACAAATCTGACTGCACTTGTTAACAAGGGTAAGATAGAGTTATTTGGAAGCTTTTTCTATGGGAAAACGGTTTATGGTGTGCATCGGGATGTCGCTGAGAAGGAGTGCTCAGCCGTCCGGGATGAGGAGTTGTATTAAAGAGGATTGGAGATTCAAAAGCTCTACAGAAAGGTGCATTGGAAAAAGCACCAGTTGTCCTTGTCCTAGTCGTCATCAAAAGCTGTTAAAACTCATAATGCTAACAGATGTCGCTTTGTATCATATCGTTGTTGGGTTACGTTATTGCAATAATCTTCTAATTAGTATGTTCATGTATGGTGGGGTCAGATAGAAATGCTATTCAGACTCTTCACATGTGACGCGTGTTGCCAAAGTTCTGCCCAGACTGGTTGGCACCTTTGTTTGTGCCCATCTGCAAATTAATGACACCTTCGCCAGCGCGGAGCTGCTCTTCGGTGAACTCGCGCTTGTTTTCCTCAGAAGGTTTTGGCCCGATGAATGGACCCTGGAACTCAGGATGGAAATAGCACTGCAAAGTACACAGAGCGCACGTAATGGGTGTACCTTCAGTTAATGTGTCACTAAGCACGGTTTGGTCTCCAGCATTAAGCCTCACAAAACTATTTTCGTGTGTTTGAGACTCACTCTGTTTATAGCCGACAAGATATACTATCTGTATACTTATTTTTGCGAAAAGCCTCAAGACATTATAGAATGTGTATTTAGCGACTTATCATTATCGACAACCAGTATAGTTCTATGTGATGTTGGGCTCTAGTTATTATTCCTGCTGCCTTCTGCGTTCTGAATGGGCCATATGCAACGAAACATATACAGAAGCACAATAATCGATTCGGCGCCTTGAACAATGGAATATCGTTTAGAAAATAGGTAACCTTTTAAAAAAACACATTGTTTTTTATTTAAACAAACTACATGTCAGCTCGTCCCTTTTATACTTACAGCGCGTCCGACGGCCATAAGACACTGGGTAACCTGGGGGATGTTGCGGCGCTCATAGAGATCAACGGTTTGGAACACATCGATCTCGGGCACGCCCCACGCCTTACACGCCTCCTGGAAACGGTTGATATTTTCCATTTGCTTGAACTGTCCGCCGGATGTGTTGATCTTGGAGATACAGCCAGGCATCAGTTTGTTCATAAAGCTGTTGAAAAAATAGTAAAGATAAAAAAAAATAGAAATTACACGGACGCTTGTAATATCAGTCTATTATTTAACGCAATTAGAAGCTGATTTGAAATGATCTTCAAAATAATATTCTTTATAATATACTACCGCTTGGACAGTGTTTAATATGAGCTCAATTTTTTAGCGATTCTGCGTTTTTTTTCTAACGTTCATGACTGCATTTTCCGGCGCCACCTGCAAAATTTTAATTCTGGTTGAAGTGTAGTACTGATCCCGCGCCTCGTGTCATGATCCGTAGCAAGTGTTCGCTGCGGCCGACTTGGCACCAAGCAGCTTTGAAATTACGCTGACTAAAAAGCTTTTAAATGTTAGTTATACTTGAGAAGTAGTTGCACAACCAGATCTTCAAGGGTGGGTATCGTCCTTTGCATTTTTCAGACCGGCTGAATACGTACAGCTAAGTAAAGCCGTTCCTTGTTAGATACGCTTGAAAAATTGAACAGGAAGTTTCTTGAACATTCACATGAAGCTTGGAATCATCAGCGCTTCTTTTTCGTTTTGGCCTTATTCTAATATTAGTGTCCTTATCGTTGTTACCGTTGGCTGACCTGAAGCAAAGCTTTGACCTTACTTTCAAGTCCTCAAGCCTTAATTATCCAACAACGATTCCCTCCGTGCACTACGTTAGGTCCTCGACTCTGTGTACTCACTGGCAAAGAATTACGCCGTCCTTGAGCACGTCCTCAATAGCTCCTGCGGGCAGTTTCTGGCCAACAATATCTCCCATCCACGCGAGAATATCGGCTTCTAATTGAGCGTCCCGTTTTCCAGCCAACTGAAGTCCATAGAATCAAGAAACGAGCAAAATAACGAACTTAGAAGATTAAACGGACACGATAACCACATCAAATAAGACGAATCTTGATTTTTCTCTTTTGTATCTTGAAGAAAAAAAGTTAATTCGGACTGAATTTCAGTCTCTGTTACAGATCGGCGTTCAAACGCTTCACCATTAAATTGTCGGAAAAGTGACAGTTTCTGTAGCTAAATTGTTTTGAAGCCAGATAGTACAGTTAGTATAGCTTAAATTTTTGATGTCATTTGAAAGTAGTCGAATTAGTAGTAGTCGGTGTGCCAAAAATCCTTGAGACTTAGAAAAGAAAGAGCACTTTTAAAGTATCTAAAATTTCTACAAAGTTTCGGTGTATTTTATAGTTTTACTACAATTAAAAAACAAGCACTGCCAAGGTCCACAAACAGTTGTGCTGTTTGTGATCAATAAATACTACTGGAAAAAAACAGTCAACGATGCTACACTGTCGCTTTCGTAGCAGAGATTTCAATGTGAAGAATGTACCTTCTCGTGGTCTACCTATTACGCAAAGAATTGATGATGAAATTATTGCGAAAGTTTAGCCAGACCAACATGGAAAATGCCGATGATATGGTTCTAAAAGACACAGCGAAATCGAGCCACTTCTGAGGTGATCGATGACGGATGATGAAGAGTGGATCACATATGGGAACAATATCCGAGAAAGCTTGGGATCAAAACGAAGAAAAACTTAACGATCTCTGATAAAACGTCGACAGACGCCGAAGACTGGAGTGTGGTGGAATTTGAAAGGAATCGTCCGTTATGCGCTGCTGCTTCTCCGTAAAACGATTGACTCGGACCGCTACTATTAACAACCGACAAGACTACAACGAGGTATTGAAAAAAATTTACTGAGCCAGTGAATAGAAGGAGCGTCATCCTCCGCCATGACAACGTTAGGCGATATATATTTTTCATCAATGCATCTCCCGTACAGCCACCATTTTACACCACCGGACCATTGTACTTTAGCTTTTACAAAAGTTTCGTAATGACGTTTATTTAATTTCAATGGATGCATGCAAAATTAAGCTGCTACAACCTCTCGTCCAGAAACTACAAAGGTTCTACATGTTAAGACGTTATTATGAAAGTGTCAGAAGATCCTTGATCAAAATCAACATTTCGATGACTCTAAACATCGCATTCGCATGGATCTAAATCGTCATGATCAATGTAACATCATCTAGGTCATCTGGGTACGATTACGTCAAGGAACCAGGGAATGAAAGCTAAGTTAGCGCATTCGTATAACTGCATTCTGACCGTTTTTTCGTTGCAACCTTGCCTGCTTAGACTCTCTATAGCCTCTTAAGAAGAAACAAAACAACCTTTTTTCAGCAGACTTTTACTACGATAAGGTGACATTACGAGGTGACATTTCTTCTGTTTAATTAGCCGTAAGCCACCATTCTACGTTCAGGTTTAATTCCCTATGCGGTTGCCTTCAGGCAGACATTTTAGCCGCATGAGCAATGGAGGTCCGAGCAATACCGCCATCTTTTGATAAGCGACTGGCTATCGGCTGATTTTGGTTGGGTTTCACCAGCAGCGAAGGAAAGACCCATACAAATTAAACATTTGCCATTGGCAGTGTCTGTATGGAAAACCATTATAGATATGTACAAAAGAAGATGCAGAGCTTGTGTATATTAAAATGTACATTACATTCATTTCATCCGATGGGTTTTATAAGTGTCGAAGTTTTACTAATCTATAGTCAAAATGAAACGGGATACTACATTATATTTCAAAAATGAAATCATCTAGTTGCAGTTTATCTCAACGCAAAAGCCCATTTGCCCAGCTGCTGTCTTCGTGGCATCTCTTTTTCCGAGAAACAGTGCAATATTTCTTAACACTAACTACCGAACTCAGGCGTAGGAATTCACAGAAACCATGTGTCCATTACTCTGGTAGATTACCTAAAACTATTACTGAACATTGTTTGTAATAGGATTGTTTACAAGCCTGTATCTGGTCCAGCTTAACGGTCGTCGTTTTCTCAATACAACTAGCTAAGACTACTGGTAATATTAAGCTCATAATCATCTATATATCATATAAGTACCTCCGATGAGCCTCCCTTGATTCCAAATAAAGAAACGTGACTGACAAGTGAGAAATTCGCGTGCACGTTACGATAAAAGGTATGTAAAGTTCTGTATGTAAAGAATGACGGGCCCTATCTAAGATGTCAGACCGTTAAAGGTTTGACGATCAGAATAGCGAGGCCTTCAAGGAGAAAGAAATGCTACCAATATGCCAACAACACCGGACGGCCATATGTAGACGCTAAGGGGTCATAAAAACGTGAAAAGTTACATGAGCCACAAATAGTGGGGCGCTTCTGACCGAGAACCGGTTAAAGGGAAACATTAGTGGATCATCTTGACCTCTATTCAATGGTACACAGGGTTTTCGAGTCAGAGTTCCTAATCAGAGTTCTCGAAATAAGTATAGCATTAGTTAGAGTGTGGCATAAGCTTAAGCATTGCTTAAGTAATTCACTAACAAGAGAGTGCCTTTGTGCTTGATACATAACGGACTTAACAGTCATTAGGTATAATAGGTAAAGAATGACTGTGTACTTATAAGCATCATTTATATATTTTTCTATTCGTTGTCGTAGACACCTAACGATATTAGACGATATTAGTGAATTTTAATAAGCACTATGTATCAGCAGTAGGAGAGATAGTTTCGAAGACTTCAAGTAGAGTGAGAGAGGGACATGCCATCGAAGTAGGTATAAAAAAAACTAACTAAGACAAAGCTAAATTAGGACGGGAGCGGAGTAAATACGAGAGTTTAAAATAAGATATGATTGAACCGATAAGACGCACTCAGAAATTTTGAACTTAATGCGCCGGGCAGGAGTGCCGCCAAGGTAGAGCAAAAAAAAAACCGGAACGAGAGCTGTCGCGAGGGTAAGAGCGGGTCAGAATCAAGCATATAGTAAAACCTGTGATCTGGACTGCATAAGGTGATCTGACTATGTATTAACAGAGCTGCTGTTGCCGTTCTTGGCAACATTGGCTCCTGTTTTTTGCTACAGGAGAAAGGGTCTCTTGCAGAGAGTGTGTCAGAAGTAGTCCACTGAAGAATTTAGGTGCATAACATGTCATGGGCGTTATTCTAGACCAACGATAAGTATACCAGGACAATCCATAGAATGCTTCCTAATGTATACAAGCTAGCCATTATATACAGAGGGTTCCAGTTCGAACGTGACGAAGACATAGAGCGTGCCTCATCATGTATTGATTGTATATTCGCTTTTGGAGTGAAAAATGGGCGCGTAAAAGAGGCGGCGAACACAACAGCTCCTTTTGCTCTCTTCTTAGAAATAAAAGGTTGGAAAAGCTCCTGTCCGGCGCTTTCTCGTTTCTGCAGGTGTGCTCCAGCTCATGGCCACAATGTAAGTTTGACCTGAATAATGGAATAAATTTACGGTATGTACAATGTACAGTATGTAACTGTCGAGCAAAATGGACAGTTTGACGGAACAATGTAAATGAGAAAGGGTTCGTTCTGTGCGAGTGTGTCATGTGACATGACAAATCGATTTTATCCGGTACCAACGAGGGAAGTAACCATAATCTCTGCTTGAGAAAAAATGGCTAACGGCGCTTTTGTGGAGAAAATAAATATTTCAGTGGTGCTTGGCAGTATACTTTAAGAGAATTCGTGTTTTAAACTTATTATGAGATTTCATTATTTACCCGTAGATTGCAATGGATCCTGATATCGGCAGCCTTCTGATGTTAAAAACAAAGCCAAGAACGTTCCTTTGAGAACAAAGCTTAACGTTTTTCAAAGCTTCTTCGTACAGGTCTTGAAATTCTCATATATCAATACCTGGACCTACTTCGTCCTGTAAAGCTTGCTTTTATGAACTGGCTTCGTGGTACAGAAAGTGTGTTGCAGACGCGAGAATCGACTTAAGATTCCTTTAGGTCCTGCTACATGTAGCATACGCATTGCGTTTTATTCAAATGTTACACCTTTACTTACTCACTGGGCTAGTTCGATATATTGTTCTCTTGCAATCTGTCTATGCCTTGCTAATATTGATGAAAGTAAGTCAGCACGGGATGTGAAACTAAAAACTAGGGTTTTGGATGTTATATTCCACCATAATATTCTATATTCGTTTGTTTAGCTATTCAGAAATTTGGTAACGTCATTCACGGTATCTCGTTTATATCAACAAGGATTAATGGACGTCAACTGCGTGGCAGCGTTTGTGGTTCTATAGATTAGCCTAAGCTGACCTTAATTAGAGCAGACACCCAATGCTTTTCTCTCCAGAAACAGATCCTTCCAGACAAACCATGAAACCAAGCGCCGCGCACGCGCTTTACTTCGGCCTTTGTTTAACTATATGCCGTCGCAATTTTTTTTTAATAGAAGGTGCCATATATATTTGAGGTTATTCATAATGATGCCAGCCGGACATTGTAATAACGACTGCAGAATTACCCCCAATGTCTTTTTAAGAAGAGCTATGTGTCGTTTATACGACGCGACTAAAACTCAGTTTGCAGAGTTCAGAGAGCGGTTCAGAAAAAAACGTTGCAGAACTAAATGTGGAAACTTGTAGTTCCGAAATTTCGGCATAGTTGGAAAGGTAACAGAATGTAGAGTATATGGGGGTATATGACTGTATACCACTGGGCACATTTTTCACAGCCTCGCCAAGGCCCTCGAAGGAAATCAGTTATTATCGCTTGTCGTCCGGCTTGTTTCCGCAGTTGTCATCTACGTTCGATTCCATCGATGCTCGCTTTTAGGATAAGTCTTCCATTTTTTATGTTCGATTATGACACGCATCAATAATACAGTTATAGATTATGAAATGCGTAGACTATGATAGTGTCTTCGATGTCACATTAAGCTTTATAATTTCTAAACAGGTTAGAGGACGTATGGTATCATGGTAAAACGTAATTACA